ATCCCTGATCCAAAAAGATATATGCACCTCTATATTCACTGTTGCATTATTTACAACAGCCAAGATATGGAAGCAGCCCAACTGTCCATCAATAGATAAATGGATAAAGAAAATGTACATATACACTATGAAATATTACTCAGCCATAAAAAGAAAAGAAATCCTGCCATTTGCATCAGCATGAATGGATCTAGAGAGTATTATGCTCAGTGAAATAAGCCAGGCAGAGAAAGACCAATGCCATATCATTTCATTTATTTGCAAAATACAAAAACAAAGCAAAACAAGAAACAGAACAACAGTAGGCTCAGAGACTCTGAGAAGGGACTGGTGATTACTATGGGGGAGGGCTTGGGGTGGGTGGGATGGGAGTGGGAGGGGGATAAAGGGGCACAAAAATTCTCAATTATAATGTAGGTTGGTCACAGGGATAGTAGTACAGCATGGAGAATACGGCCAGTGATTCTGTAACATCTATATTGACAGATAGTAACTGCACTAGTGGGGCTAAGGATTTAATAATATCGGTAATTGTTGAAACACAGTTGTTGTTCAAGTGTTGTATAAGTTGAAACTAAAATAAGACTATATATCAATAAAAAAGTAAAAAGAATAGATATTTTTTAGAGCAGTTTTAAGTTCATAGTAAAATTGAGCAGAAGGTACAGAGTACTCCCATACACTACCTGCCCCTATACACGCATAACCTCTCCCATTATCAACATCTCCCACCAGGTGGTCCATTTGTTACAACTGATAAACCTGCACTGACACATCATTATCATCCAAAGTCCACAGTTTACATTAGGGTTCACTCTTGGTGGTTTATATTCAATGGGGTTGGACAGATATATAATGATACATATCCACCATTATAGTATCATACAAAGCAGTTTTATTTCCCTTAAAGTCCTCTGCCCCACCTATTCATTCCTTCTTCCCCCAACACGTGGCAACCACTGATCTTTTTACTGTCTCCATAGCTTTGCCTTTTCCAGAATGTCATATACTTGGAATCATACAGTATATAGCCTTTTCAGATTGGCTTCTTTTATTTAGTGATATGCATCTATGTTTCTTCAAAGTCTTTTCACGGCTTGATGGCTCACTTCTTTTTATTGCTAAAAAACATTCCATCATTGGGATGTACCAGTTTTTCCATTTACCTACTGAAGGACATCTTGGTTGTTTCCAAGTTTTGGCAATTATGAAGAAAGCTGATAAAAACATCTGTGTGCAGATTTTTGCATGGATGTAAGTTTTTGCTCCTTTGGATAAAATACCAAGGAACATGATTATGGGCTAACATAGTAAAAGTATGATTAGTTTGGTGAGAAACTGCCAAACTGTCTTTCAAAGTGGCTGTACAATTTTGCATTCCTATCAACTAGTTAGAGTTCACATTGTTCCACATCTTTGTCAGCATTTGGTGTTGTCAGTGTTCTGGATTTTGGCCATTCTAGCAGGTGTGTAGTGGTATCTCATTGTTTTAATTTGCATTTCCCTAATGACATATAATATGGAGCATCTTTTCACGTGCTTATTTGCTATCTGTGTTTTCTTTGATGAGGTGTCTGTTAAAGTCCTTGGCCCACTTTGTAACTGTTTTTTGTTGTTGTTTTTGAGCTTTAAATAAGAGTTCTTTGTGTAATCTGGGTAATAGCCCTTGAATCAGATGGGCCTTTTGCAAATATTTTCTCAGTCTATGTCTTGTCTTCTTAGTCTCTTGAGGGTTGAATATTTTTTATGGTTCCATTTTATCTCCTCTCTTGGAGATATACTCTATATATTCTATGTACTATAATTCCTTGTTATGTTATTTTGATGGTTCCTCTCATCTTTAACTTATCAGTCTACCTTCAAATAATATTATAGCACCCCATATATAGTTTTAAGTCCTTTCAACAGTATATTTCCATTTCTCTCTTCCTGATCTTTGTGCTATTGTCATATATTCTATTTATATATAGGTTATGAATCTCATAATACATTATTACTATTTTTGCTGTAAGAGGTTAATTATGCCTTAAAGATATTTAAATAAAGAGAAAAAGTTCTTTATATTTATCTATGTAGTTATCATTTCAGTACTCTTCATTCTTTTGTGTAGATTCAGGTTTCCATCTGGTACTATTCTGCTTGAGGGACTTCCTTTTACATTTCTTGTCAGCTGATAATGAATTCTTTCATCTCTTGTATGTCAGTAAAAGTAGTTATTTCATCTTGTTTTTAAAGATTTTTTTGGGGGGTGAAGAATTCTAGGTTAATAGGGCTTTTTCCCCAGTAGAATAAAGATGTTTTCTTCTAGCTTACACCATTTCTGATGAGAAATTGCTGTAATCCTTATCTTTGTTTCCCTGTACATTAACAAGTTTTATTTTTCCTTTGTTTACTTCTAAGATTTTCTCCTTATGACTGATTTTAACCAACTTAATTATTATGTGCCTTAGTGTAGTTTCATGTTTCTTAGGCTTACGGGATTGTTAAGATTCTTGGATCTTTGGGGTGTGTAGATTTCATCAATCAAATCTTCAGATTCTCCAATCACACATATACTAGGCCACTTGAAGTCATTCCATAAATCACAGATCCTTGATGCTCTATTTTTTTGTTGTTTTTTTCTGTGTTTTGTTTCAGCTTCTACTGATATGTTTTCCCTTAAGTGTCGAATGTACCATTAATACTAAACAGTGTAATCTTCACCTCAGACACATCATAGTTTTCATCTTTAAAGTTTTTTGGGGGTCTTTTTTATACATTTCACATTCCTACTATCTTTAATCTTTCCTCTAGCTTCCTGAACATAAGGAATACACTTATAATAGTAACTGTTTTAATATCTTTGTCTACTAATTCTATCTTCTGTGTCAGCTCTGGATTAGTATCATTAAATGATAAATTAATTGAGTTTTCTTTTCATTGTGGGTTGTATTTTTTTTTTTGAGAGGGCATCTCTCCTATTTATTGATCAAATGGTTGTTAACAACAATAAAATTCTGTACAGGGGACTCAATGCACAATCATTAATCAATCCCAAGCCTAATTCTCAACAGTCTCCAATCTTCTGAAGCATAACGAACAAGTTCTTACATGGTGACCAAGTTCTTACATAGTGAATAAATTCTTACATGGTGAACAGTGCAAGGGCAGTCATACCACAGAAACTTTCAGTTTTGATCATGCATCATGAACTATAAACAATCAAGTCAGATATGATTATTCATTTGATTTTTATACTTGATTTATATGTGAATCCCACATTTCTCCCTTATTATTATTATTATTTTTAAATAAAATGCTGAAGTGGTAGGTAGATGCAAGATAAAGGTAGAAAACATAATTTAGTGCCTTAAGAGGGCAAATGTAGATGATCAGGTCTGTGCCTATAGACTAAGTATTAATCCAAGCTAGACAAGGGCAACAAAACATCCCATTGTGGGTTGTATTTTCCTGCTTCTTAGCATGCCTAGTAATTTTTTATTGAATGTGATAAGGCACTGTGAATTTTACCTTGGTGAGTCCTGGATGTTTTTGTAGTCTTCTAAACCTTTCTGAACTTTGTTCTGTGGTGCCATTGAATTCCTTGGAAACAGCTTGATCTTTTTAGGTCTTGCTTCTGCTTTTAAGCTTTGTTAGGCAGGACCAGAGGAGGGTTTATTGTAGGTTTAATTTTTCTCCATAGCTGAGGCAAGGCTCTTCTTAGTATTCTACCTGATGACCCACAAATTGTAAGGCTTTTCTCTCTGGTTTATGGGAAGAGCCCTAGCCCTATTCCCAGCCCTATCCTCACATCTTAGCTCTGCGTAAGCTCTCTATATTGTTCCCTCAAATCCTTCTGTGTGGTTCTTTACCTGCCGAGTTTCTTCACATGAATGAGCTGATCAGTACTCAACTGAATACTAGAGGGGAAACTCCTGAAGATCTCCAGAATTCTTTCTGTGTGCAGCTCTCTCTTCTCTGGTACTCTGCCCTGAAAACTTCAGCTGCCTTGGCATCCCTGGATTCCCAGCTTCACCTGTTCAACTCAGGGTGACCACTAGGCTTTGCATACAGTTCCTTCCTTGTTCCATGGCTTCTGTACTCTCTCTAGGCACTATGATAGGGTACTCAGAGGGTTCATTTCATTTGTTTTCTACCTCTCAGGAATGACTGTCCAATTTGTTCATGTCCAATGTCTTAAGAACCATTGTTTCATATGTTGTGTCCAGATATTTTATTTCAGGCAAGAGGGTAAATGTGGTCCCTGTTACTCCACCTTGTCCAGAAGCCAGTGCATAATAATTTCACTCTTTTTCTCTTTTATTTACTCATATTATACTTTAGTTCCAGAAAGTCAATCCTACTGATTGGAGCCAAGAAATCCAGAAAAGTAAGCTTCAGTTGGAATACTACTGCCAGCTATACCTGGAATCTGGAGGTACACAGAATTTCCCAAGCTCTGATTTCTCTTTAATCATTAGAAGAGCCTGTCATCACAAAACCAGATGAAGCTATTTGACCTCCTTGAGGGTAAAGACCTTAACGAGTACAACTCTATATCTCCAGCATCCAAACGTGTGCATAGATAAAAGTGTTTCTGATTAGGCAAAACTAAACATAAGAATTCTATCATATTGCTGCCATTATAAGAGTAGCTATGTGCTTAGCACTTTATATATATAATCTTACTCAAACCTCACAACAATCATTTTAGGTATGCATCATTCACTATATTACTGATAAGAAAACTGAGACTTAGAAATGTTAAACAGCTTCCACAATAAAATCCAAACTAGTTAGTGGCAAAAATGAAACTCAAGCAACATCTAACCGTGCTGTTTACCCCTATATCATACTGTGTTCTATAAAGTTTTTCTAAACCACAGCCTTCTTTGGTGAAAGGCTAACCTCAAATTGTGCAATCCAAAGCAATCTGTCACCTACCCATCATGTATTCAGGGTTCCCATACATCAATATGGAAGATTTTCACCAAAGTAAGTAATAAGTGATTTATACTTACCTGCTTCACCTCACATGAGCAATGATGAAGAAATCGGGGCTGGGTAATCTCATAAAATGATTTGTGCAGTTTGATCCCAAACTCCTGTGTGTCAGCTGCCTAAAATGGGCCAGAGACAGAACATGTTGAGTTTCAGTACTGGCAACCAAAGGGGAAGTACCCATAAGAAGTTTATGTGGGGAGAGGACGAGACAAATAGGAAGACAAACCACTGACATCTCTCACGTTTTTAGGAGTTTCCTCAGTTCCAGTGAACAAAAGCAGAGAGAAAGCCTGGGATATGTGGCATATATGGAATTATATAAACTACTCTCCTCTAAAACAAGTTCCAAGACAGCAGCTTGGAACAACCACTGAACCACTTATATTAGTTAAGACTGATAAAAGAACTTCTCCTCAACAAAGTCTTTTATGGAGGAAGAAAACAAGATAATATAATTTATATCTGTAAGTAATGGGTAATAGCCTCAACTTTTTAATACAGAATTGTAGGTTATCAGAGTTAAACAGGACCAGAGTAATCACCTAATATAACACACTAGATGAGAAAACTGCAGTTCAAAACAGTGGCCCACTCAAGATCTCATAGCTAGTCAGTATGAAAGTTAGAGCTGACCCTAGGATTGCCAGTATAGTGTTCTTCACTGTGCTATCCACATGACCCAGAAAGTTCAAGCTATGATAAAATGCACTAGATTATAAAGAGATCTCTGACCTGACCCAGTAACTCCACTTACAGAAATTTATTCTAGGAAATAATTCAAAAGAAGCAAGATAGCACATAAAGGCATTTGTCAGTATATTGGCAAAAAAGAATATTAATAACTTAAATATCTAATTAGGGAAATGGTTCATTAAAATAGATTAAACCAACACAGTGGAATACTGGGTAACCAATATAAATTGAAGACTGCTGAAACACAGTAAAATATCAAATTATATATGATTATATATTTTGGATATAACCACATAATATATATAATATGCAAAAATTAAAAATTACAGTGATAAAGTTTGTTAATTAAGATTTTTATACTATCTTTTCAAGAAAAAAGCACAAAAAAATAAAGCAATAAACATGGAATATGTTACCCCACTGATAATACCGAGTGGTCAGCACACATTCCTAAGAGAAAGGAGAGAAACTAACATTTACTGAGATGCTACCATGTGCTATACACATTCACATTTAGCCCTCACCCTCATAGTTACCATGCGAGGTACTATTATTTTTTCTAATTTATAGATGAAGCTCAGAGAAGTTAAGGGCAGCCCTAACTCCACATAGCTAGCAAGAAAGCAAGCCAAAATTTGAATTCAAGCCTCTATGCCAAAACTTGTTACACTATTCCGTACTGCCAAATACATGTAATACTTAGGGTTGCTCAGTTATTTCCAATGTATTCTGGCACCTTGAGGTAACAGAACATTCTTCATCTGGAATTGGGAATCATGATCTAATTCTAACTCACTCCTGCTCATAACTAACTGTGTGACCTAAGGGAAGCAGAAATTTTACATAACTTGTTTTCTCTTTTATAAAAGAGTACACACACCATTATCCATTCAAAAAATATTTCTTAAAACGCTTATGACAAGCCTGGTACTTTGTAGGATCACAGTGGGATCAAATGAAATGCTATTTCTAAGAGCACTGTACATATTACCAAGATAGGTAGCAAAATATCATTAAATGGCATTTCTAAGCATCCCCAATCTCCTACTAACTTGAAGGGCCTGGAGACAGACTGTTCGGAAGCTGCTGCTGGTGCTTCCAGTCACAATACTCATGATGGAATTCACAGCCACTGAGAGCGAGGCCTGCAGTTTCTGATGAGCCTAGAGAATATAATTAAGTAGGGGGAGATGGCAGTTTATAATAATCCCAAGTTGCTGCTTCAGAGAATCCCAAAGGGACCAAAGATTTCAGTCAGAGCAGAATTCCAACAATTCTTCCCCCTCTACCAATAATACTTACTGAGATCATGACATAAAGAAGACATTTAGGGATTGAAATAAATAAAAATTTTCTCTCCACCTTAATAAAAAAAAAGTTCTCTCCTTTCATAGAGATGGCTTATGGACACAGACACATTCACAAAAGACAAACAGTAAGACATTGGGAAATAAAAAGGTAAACTTACTATTTAAAAATAAAAAGCTCTAAGCTTTGTTCTCTTAGCATAGTTGTTTTTTCCCTCAAAGGGGGGCATATGAAGTAAGAATTGTATTACTAGAAGTACTCAGGATGGAGGAATTCAGAAAGCCAGGTAAGAAGAGAAAGTGACCTTTTCAGCCCAGGTCCTGGACATAGCAGCCACCAAAATGTTGATGCCCAAGAAGAATCAGATTTCCATCTATGAACTCCTTTTTAAGGAGGGAGTGACAGTGGCCAAGGAAGATGTCTACATGCCTAAACACCCCGAAATGGCAGAGAAGAATGTGCCCAATCTTCATGTCATGAAGGCCATGTAGTCTCCCAAATCACAAGGCTATGTGAAGGAGCAGTTTTCCTGGAGACATTTCTACTGGTACCTTACCTATGAGGGTATCCAGTATCTCTATGACTACCTCTCCCTGCCCTGAGATAGTGCCCGCCACCCTGTGCTGCAGCCATACTGAGACTGGAAGGTGATGGCCCAAAGGTCTGGACCTGCAAGACCCATGCAAGGAGAGGCTGACAGGCACCTACAGATGAAGCGCTGTGTGCCCTGGTGCCTACAAGAATGCTGAAGCTGGGTCTGGGTCAGCAACCGAATTCCAGTTTAGAGACGGATTTGGTCATGGATGTGGTCAGCCACCTCAGTAAAGTTGGAGAGTGTTTGTGTTGAATATACCCAAAGCCAGAAAAAAATCTAAGGAAAAAAAGCATTAGGAAATGGGGGAAGGATGTTAAGATTTAGTGAAGCAGTAGTATTTAGTGAAACTTCAGAAGTGTGTGGGGGAGGAGAGAGATGTAGATAAGGAAGAGGCACACCATCAGTCACTTTTCTCTATTATTCTGACCTTACGTACTCAAACCCACCTACTAGGAGGTAAGGCTAATAAGCAAGCTGGTTACAGTAACCCATCTAAATTGAAGCTTGAATTCCTAGGCTCGATGCAATGTACAAGATCAGCCCAGGTGACAAAAGAGGAAAGGAAGGAGAGAGGAACGGCTCTAAGGCCCTGTCTACCATATACTCACGCTATGTTTTTCTTAGAGAAAGTAGGAGAGAGGGAGCTGTGGACTTCTTATTACCTTCGCAGCCTGGTGATACTGCTCCAAGGCCTGATCCACGGCACCCTGGACAGAATCTTGCACCACGCTGTGGCTCTCCATGAGGATGGCACTGAAACGAGTGGTGAGCAAAGTGTGGACTCCTGAGGGGAAGGAGAATGTTGGTAGCCTTGAGAGAGAATTACTTCAACACTGCTGTTCACGTGCTGTGGCCAGGGCTGGGAATAGGGAAGAGGCCTCTTGGAAGAGGCCACTGCTGCCTATGCCCGAATAATTACATTTTTTTTTTCTCTGTGGAAATTTTTTTTTTTTGAGAGGGCATCTCTCATATTTATTGATCAAATGGTTGTTAACAACAATAAAATTCTGTATAGGGGGGTCAGTGCTCAATGCACAATCATTAATCCATCTCAAGCCTAATTCTCGTCGGTCTCCAATCTTCTGAAGCATAACGAACAAGTTCTTACATGGTGAACGAATTCTTACATAGTGAATAA